CGAGGTCCGCGGCTGTCAAAGATCTCGCGCCTCGGGCGTGGCGACTTGCGCTTGCTCTTTGATTTCGAGGTCGCCGCGGGGGGGGCCCAGAGGGCAGAGGCCTGGCGGCGTGCTTCTGGGCACCTTCTTCCACCTCCCGCCGCCGCCCGGCGTGGTGGCCGACGTTCTCGTAGAAAGTGGTCGACCCCCGCGCGGAAAGCCACTGCTCGCGCGGCCGAGCTGTCGCAGGCCCGGGAAAAGAGCGCCCCGGGGCGCGGCGTTCAAGCTAGGGGGCGCTTCAAGCTAGGGGGCGCTTCTCCCTGGTGCGGGGCAAGGCAGGTGGCGTCCTGCAAGGAATTTACGACGAACCCCCCGGGGGTCGATATCGCGCGCGGATCAGCGTTTCCGGATTTCCGTCGATGGTTCGCGCGAAATGCTCGGCGCGCCCCGGCCTGGGCAGTTCTCCAGGTTTTCTTGGCGCCCGAGGTCGCCCGCGTTGCGTTCTCATCGGAAGCGCCGGAGGCCGCGGGGGGGCCGCGCGCCGCCGAATTTCTGGGCCCGCGCCCATGGGCACGAGGCGGCCAGTCGCCGAATTCTTCGTCGCGCCCGCGGGCCGTTTCTCGAGCGCTTCTGGCCCCGCGGGTGGGGGCGGCGCATCAACGAGGCTGAGACTTCATGGATTTGGCCGGCTTTCCATGCGCGAGGCCGCCACCTGGGGGCGCCGACGTCGCGGTCGTCGCGGACAGCTCGGCGGCCGAGGGTGTCATCCGCAAGAGCGGGAGCGGATCGGTCGCGCCGTGCTGCCCGAGCGCGGAGGCATTGCGGGGGTCCGCCTGCGAAGCCCGCGCCTCTGGGTTGTCCGCGTCGCATCCGAGGCAAACCTGTCAGATCAACTGAGCCGCCTGTTCACCGAGCCTGCCCTGGCTCGCGGCTGGCGCCGAGTGTCAGCGAACGCGCCAGAGCGGCGGCGTTTGGGTCCCCGCTTGCGGGGCCAGTGGCCGCCCGCGCGGGGCGGCGGCGCGGCGGGGGGGAGGGCTGCGCGCTGCGCCTCTGTGGCCGTTTCTCTGCCGCGACGGGGCCCTCGGGCGCCCCGGCTGTCCGGTGGCTGGGCTTGCGCCTCTTGTGCCTACGGCGCGGGGCGGGGCTTGCGCGGTCCCGTTGTTCCTGCGAAGGCTCGGCCTGCGCCGCCTCGCGTCTCGCGTTGCGCGGCCGCGCCGTGGGCGCGGCGTCCTGGCGAGCGGCCCCGTCGAGCACCTTCCCAGCGCTGGCGGCGTGATTAACCCCAACTCCCGGATGATACGCACCCCCCTCCCCCATGTATCTCGTTGTCCACGGGGTTGAGCGCGGTTCGGTTGGGGCGGCGGGCGGTGGGGCCGAACTGTATTATCCCGTTCCGAAGTTTCTATCGTAGCTCTGTTTGTGAAGATGTCTCGCGCGAAACGCGATCCAGACGTCCTAACATCGATGTCCCCGGGAAATTATTCCCCTGCCTGGGCCCCGGGCTCTCTTGCCCCCGGGGTATTCTGGCCGGGTTACTGTAATGGGCATGTATCATGCGCAGAGCATATGCGTCAGCGTCTTCGTCATCTCTTTCGTCCGCGTCTTCGTCGCCTTCGCCGTGTTTGGGGTGCCCTGGGGCCCGCTGCGCGAGCTGGCAATGCTCGCGGGGCGCGGCGGGTGCGCCGTGTCGGCCGTCGCCAGGTTCATGTCCCTGGGTGCCCGTCGAGCGGGCAGGACTGGCGAGGCGGCCCCCTGCTGTCTGCTGCTGCCAGCCCCCCCTTCCCCCCCCGTGCCCTCTTCTGCCCCGCCCCCCCCCGCGCCGTGCCGCTCCATCCCCCTTTTCCTCCTGGGGGATCCAGCGCAAGAGCCGACCGTTGGGCGCGCTGCCGCCGCCGCTGCAATGCGCGACGGCCTGGGCGCCGGCGCCCGTTGATTGCGCGCGTCGCCGAGACGTCGTGTCGAACGAGCGGCGCCGCGTCCGCATCCAACCGCGGCCCGAAACGTTGAGGGCGATGAGGGGCCTGCGGCGCTGCGTCGAGCTGTGGCCATGGCTCATGGGGGGCCCGTGGCGGGGGGTCATCTCCGCCTGACTTTCATTGCCCTTGTTCTGTTCTTGCGCTGGTGGCTGGGGGCGCGCCCCTCCTCGCGGGCCCCTCTTGTCGTGTGTTTGGCTGCGGGGCCCTGGGCTCCAACTGGGTCCGTTGTGCGCCCGGGGGCGCGCCCCCGCCTGCGTTGCCCCGGGCCCTCCGGCGCCGGGCCCGCAATCGGGCCGGGCCCGCAATCGGGCCGGGCCCGCGCTGGCGCGTCGCGCGCCACCCTGGCTCCGCAGATCTGCGGCTGACGGGGGGCGCGCGGGCGCCGGCGCGCCCGGCCGCCCCGGCGGACTTCCGGCGGCTTCGCGAGGCGAAGCGGCCCACGGCTGCAAACCTCCAGGCCCCGCCGTTTGCACCCCTGTCGGCGGGCAACTGGCGGGCGCCACCTCCCCTTCTGGCGTCGCGCTTTTCGCTCGCGCAAGGCCGGCTTTTCGAAATGTCCTCGGGGCGTCTCCCACCCCGCGCCGGGTCGTCGCTTGAGGCAGCGGGGCGGGGGTCTCTGCGTGGGGATCGGAACGCTGACCCCCGCGCGTTCAAAGGGCATGTCGGCTTCTCCGTGTCCAGAAACTGAAGCCGCGGTTGCTGATGGTGAGAGTTCTTGCCGATGCTGACGTTCTGCAGAGATTGGGGTCGGCGACGTCGCTGGCGTAGATCGCGCCGGACGCAGCGCGCGACCTCGTCGGGGTCGCCCCGGGGAAGCGGCGGAAGACTAGCGTTGGCGCGCCCCCGCGCGATCGGCTCGACATGTTGCGCTCTGCCCAGCAATGGGGGTTTCGACGTCCAAGCGATATTTGACGTCTTGCTGATGAAGGAGCTGGGGGCATCTGCCGGATGTTCGATCATCGGGCGCGCGTCGTCGACGAGGGCAGTGGGCGCATCCTGCGAGCTCCAGCATATATGATTTTCACCGATAGCCCCGGGCACTGCGCAAGCCGCGCGTTCGCCGCCGCGATCGCGCGCGAGGCGCGCTCGGAACAGTGTTGTCAGCGAGGCGCGCACTGCATCGCCGGGCGAGCTGTCACTGGCCCATGGATCATTCCCTGGCACAAGCAGACGTCAGGTCTGGGGCGCGCAAGCTGCGGCCCCCAGCGCCCCCCAGGACTCGCATCCAGAAAAGCAAACTCCGACAACTCTTGGTGCGTTGTGCCGAGGCCGGGAAGTTCTCCCCAGGCGTGGGCTGCATCGGGGCGTATGCATCGTCGATTCGTGTTTCGCCCGAGCTCTTGTGACAATTGAAGCTTCTTCGTGTGCGCGTGGATTGGGGCATTGCGCGCCCGTGCCCAATCGGGCGTAAAGCTCAAAGTCGTGCGCGCTTCACTTTTGAAGCGACCCCGTGCTTTGTGTTCGCATGTGGGGCGTCGCGGGCCTTGGCTGCATGCTGGCCGCCGCGACCCAGACGAAAATGCAGGCTCGCCTGTGACCTGCAGCAAGTTTTCGGCCGACGTTCGCGAGGACCTGGTCGCCGTTGGCGCGCCGGCGGCAGAGCTTCCCACGCATTCGGCCACTGGGCCGCGTTGGACACGCGCGAATCTGGCGAGCTTGCCGCGGTTCGCGCAGGAGGGGAATGGCGGGGCGGGGCAGTCGCTGCCGACGTACCATAGACCGCAATTTAGTCCCTGGCTCTCGCCGAGGCATTGTGCGTGGGCTCGGACGAAGAAGCCCCGATTGAGTATCCGCCAGTCGTTTCTCATTGGTTTCCATTGATGGCGCGGTCCTGTGGGAAGCGTTCCACTGGATATTGACAAGAGTGGGGGGGGCTGGGGGCCAACTTCCAGTCTCTTAGACGCATCAGTTGGCCCTCCCCTTATCCGCCCGCAACCGGGGCTCGCGCGCAGAAGCGAAGTCGCGACCCGCCCGCGTCCGTCCTTGGTGGCGCCGTCCTGTTGCTCCATTGGAAAAATGCAGGAGTGGGAGGCATGGGGCAAACTCTTCCACTCAAGCTCTTGTGCTCGTTCGAACTCTTCTTGACATATCTCCAAGGGTGCGAAACCTGCTGCAACAGATTGTCCTGCGTCTGCGTGCAACGACACGGAATCTGCGAGCCTCTTGCGTGCTCTGGTGACAAGTCTCGACTGCTTCGCAACTTTAGTGAAGGCCGATCTTGAGAACGTGAGCTGGTGCAGTACCGCACTGCAATTACATGTCAACGCGTCTATTTGTTCAAGTCCAACCGCCGTTCATGGCTGCGTCCGATCTGCCCCTCCAGACACTCCAGCGTGGAGCCCGAGGCCTTGCGATGCTCGCCCCGGTACTGCGGCTTGCGCTTGCGGGCACGGGCCGCCTCTGGTGAGCACGGAGAGATGTTCGCCATCATGACATCTCCTGCCTGCGTCGGTGTCTGGGACTGGGACTGGGCACCATCTCGTTATCTTGCTATGACCTCGGCCCATGGCGGAGCTAACTTGTGTCCTTGTCCTTGTCCTTGTTGTCGCTGCCGCTGGGGAAGCACTTGCTGCAATGCTTGGCCTCCCTCTTGTTGATAAAAAACTATATGCTGGACACTCCCAAAGACTTTTGCACCGAGATGCTTGCCAACCCTGCCACGGTTGACGTATTCCACTTGGTGGCTGCCTGCTGCGATCCCTCCAAGCCAAGATTCCTGAGGCGGCTCATGGACCGCTGTTGTGGTCTGGCACTCGTAACAACGCTCTTGCACTGCTGCGGGCAAACCTGGCTCGTCTATGCCAAACCGCTTCCGCACGATCTGCACGGACGGCCCTCGCACCACGCGCCGTGGCGATGGCGAGGCGCGGGAGGGCTGTCGCGTATGAGGCCTGGCCGGCAAGGGACATCGCGATGGCTTGAGGGAGGGAGGGAAGGAAGCCTCGAGCCGGCGGTGGCTTGAGGGAGGGAGGGAAGAGGAGGGAGGAGGAGCGGGGACGAGGGGCGAGCGGGAGGGAGGGCGGAGGAGATGAGCACGAGGAGCACCTCGCGGCGAAGGCCTCCTGCACCGCGGCCAGGAAGGCGAACGGTATCCTGCGTCCAGCGCCGCGCTGCGCCTCCCAAGGGAGCTGCCGCCGGGAGGAGGGGGGGCGGGGGCGCGGTGGGCGCCGATCGCGGGAGGCGAGGACCCATCGCGAAGCGCGCTCCCCGCGCGGTCGGGCGGCCCCTGAAACCCAGCAGGAGCCGCAGTCGCTGAGGAAGATGGGGCCGGAGTGGACGGGGGGCTGAGTCGGCTCAGCTACGGCGAGTGCGACTCCTGCGAGCAGAGGCGACTGCAATCCTGAATCTGGGAGGCTGCAGTCTGGAGGTAGATGAGGAATGGGCCCTGCATGACTGATGCAGTAGGTGTGAGGCGACTGCGACTCCTGCGACTGCGACTCTGAGGAGTCTGGGGGATCCAAGGCCTCCCAAATGGGGTCGGAGTAGATGGGGTGGGAAGGTCACGCCGCATCGCCGATACATTGGCGATGCGCCAGCGACGTCGGCGACGCATCGGCGCCGTCGGCGTGGAGAAAATTGAACTCCAGATCGAACCGTATCGCCGATGCATCGGCGATGTTGCGCGACCCTCCGACCCCATCTGCTCGGACCCCATCTGGGAGGCCTAGAAACCAGCAGCAGCGGCAGCGAGCAAGGGAAGATGTCCAGTCTCCCTGGCCTATGATCATCGCTCGCCCGAAACCCACAGCAGGAGGGGGGGGAAGAACAGGATGAAGCGGAGCTAAGCGGAACGGGGCGATATTCGATCGGACCCTTCTGGATCCTGCATGGCAGCGCCGATTTACTTTCTGAAACATGAAATGGAAAGATCTTTGAAGTGCCAAAATGGGCAATCGCATGCAGGCGGAGGAGGAGGAGGAGGGGGAGGATGAGGAGGAGGAGGAGGAGGAGGAGGAGGAGGAGGAGGAGGAGGAGGAGGAGGATGACCAGTGTAAATCCAAGAATCATCAACGATGTTGGGAAACACTCTCCCTCCAAGCTCCCTCTTCACAGGCCCCTAGAACGGTTCATTTCCACTGAGGGAGCTGCCTCGTTGGAAGACAACCGTTTGAAGACCCTGAGCCATGCCAAAACATTGTTCTCGGCATTCCAACGCTACGGATCAACCTGACTGTCGCATCCTGACGGAATCGTGCCAAAACGCCATTCCTGAAACTTCAACACCGCCAATCAACGTAACTACTGCACCCTCATAACCCAGAATAATTCCAACACGCCATTTCTGGTACGTGGATCATGGGAATTCGTGAAACTCTCGCAAATTTGAAAGAACGAATGTGCGCGGCACTAAAGCGATAACCACATTTTGAAGACGACCCGCCCTCAATCCGTGAAGTTCTTGCAAATTTGAAAGAACGAATATGCGCGGCGCTAAGGCGAGAACCACATTTTGAAAAGGAACCGTCCTTAATCCGTGAAGGTCCTGCACATGTGAAAAAAAATCCAAATGTGCGCTGCGCTCAAGCGAAAACCGAATTTTGAAAACGACCCGCCCTCAAACCGTAAAGCTCTTGCAATTTCTTAAAACGAATGTACGCGGCGATAAAGCGAGAACCGCATTTTGAAAACGACCTGCCCTCAATCCGTGAAATTCTTGCAAATTTCTAAAACAAATGTGCGCGGCGCTAAAGCGAAAACCACATTTTGAAAACCACCCGCCCTCCATCTGCGAATCTGTTGCCAATTTTCGGCTTTAGGGTTATTTGCGGTGAAGAAGTCTCAAGCGAAACGCCCGGCCCAGCCTTAAAACTGGTTTCGGGGTGCGACAGGGAGAAATTGCTTATCAGGAAAAAGAATGGAGGAGGAGGAAGAGGAGGAGGAGGAGGAGGAGGAGGAGGAGGAGGAGGAGGAGGAGGAGGAGGAGGAGGAGGAGGAGGAGGAGGAGGAGGAGGAGGAGGAGGAGGAAAAGCAGGAGGAGGAGGAGGAAGAGGAGGAGAAACCGCCAAGCTGCGGGTTCGGGCGCCGGGCTCCAAGCCACGGCTGGGCTGCAGCCGTCGCGGCGCGGCAGCGATGGGGCCGCCGGGGAACGGCCGCGACCCGCGGCGCGCGCGGGTGGCCCTGGGAACCCCGGGCCACAGTGGCACATAGGAGACAACGAGCCGAGCGCGAGAGGGCGCGCTTGTTTTTGTCGGTGCTGCTTGCCCGCGGCACCCTCATGGGGCCGATCGTGGCGCCATGGTGAGCGGCCCGAGGCGTATGCGATGCTCAGAATCGCGGTTCGAGGTCGACATGCGACTGTGGTAGTAAGTGTGTCCGTCGAGATGGACCGAGGAGCGCCGAGCGCAAACGGAATCAGGAGATATCGGCCAACATGAAAAAGCAGATCCATAATATCCCAGTCGCGACGCCAGACGAAGCAGCTACCGGTTCCTCGGTTTGGGCGTCGTCACTTATCCACTCACACGAGCTCAAGGCCTACATAGCCACATCGCAGAGAAAGCTTTGAACGTTCGCGAACGTCCTCGAGGTTACGCGAGATGGCAAGGAATACCCCTCCCTCGAGTTCGGCGTCAAGTACATGATTCGTGAACCAGTGGGCTGAAGAGTTCACTCGCGCATCGAGGATCTCTTTGAGGACACGGCAGGCCTTAAGCCACGCGTGGAGAAGCTGCAGCAATCCATGCCGCAGCCCTCCGTAGTGGAGGAGTGGCACATGGCGCCTGCTGAGCCAGCTGCTATTCACGGGCTCTGGGGGGCGAGTCGGCCTGAGCGGGCGCCGCGCCGCGGCGGCGCCGCCGCCCCCGTCGACTTCAGGGCCACAATGGTTGCTTTGTGATGCAAGGCGCTGGCGTGCCCGAGGAAACTGCGGCCGCGGGGTGGCGCTTTCTCCGCCCTTCGCTCCGTCCAGCTGGACTTCTCAGAACCCTGGTTTGCAATGCCCTGGTTTCGTACATGCCGCCGAAATGGTGTCGGATTAGATGGCGTCGGAGGATTTCGCCGCGTCGCCGATGCACCGCCAATGCGTCGACGACGCGCCGTCGATGCACCGGCGAGGGTCGGCGACGCAGCGGCGATGCTGGCGTGGGGAAGATCGGGCGCCCGCGTCGCCGACGCGGGAGCTTTTGCTTAGCGTGCCGCCGCGGTATTTCCAGACTGCCTTCTCTTTCTTTCAGAGGCCGCTGAGCGCGCGTGTGCTAGGCGAACTGGCTGGAAAAGGAGGTGTCTCGCAACGCAGATGCGCTTGCGTCGGCCAGAACGCCGGTTCAACATCTGGCGTGATACGTAAGGGGCACGTCGCCTAAGGCGACGCTTTCTGCAGTGAGCGATGCGGGCGCGCTGAAGAGGGCGCCGCGGAATGCGAATGAACAGGCGTGGATCGGTGATGCTTCTTGGCCGCGCTCGCCTCGACGATGCAAGCGGCGGCCGAGCAAGATAGCGCTTGCTTCGCGCGGGCTGACATTCGGGGCCATGGGCGCGATCTCCCTAAACCAACTCTCGCCGACCTCCTTGAGCCAACTCTCACCGACTCTAGCCCGCCTTGTGCGGGTAGAAATTGTTAAACAGGGTGGCGTCGCCGCTTCCTTCTTAGCTCGAGCTCTCCTGCGCTCCCGCTGACGGACTTCTCCGGGGGCTGGCGCGATGGCCGCGTAGGCCGAGCGAGCCATCCAAACAAGAGCATTCTCGGTCGCCCGAAACAGAGACTGGGCGGCCCTGTGGGAGGTCTACTTGGTAAGTCGAAGTGGTGACTGGCAACGGCGCGACCCTCGTGATCTGGGCCGCCGCGTGCAGTTCAGCCCTGGGCAGCGTTTGTGTGTATGGGTTCTGGATAGGCGCCAACGCTTAGAACATCGACGCGGTGCTGGCTCACCTGGCGGACCCCCCGTCCAGCGCGCGCGCCATCTGGCCAGCGGGCGCGTTTGCGGCGCGCTCCGTCCGAGAACGCCTCCTCCATCGCGTAGGAGGCGTCCCCATGTGACGCGCGCCGAGATCCTGAGTAGCCTGTCCTGAGCAGGTCTGGAAGAGCAAACTTACTCAGGAGACCTCGGCGCCATGGCCAGAGAGAGAGAGAGAGAGAGAGAGAGAGAGAGAGAGAGAGAGAGCCCGAGACCGCGGGGGGGTCGTCCTGATCGAGCTGTGTGCCGAAAACCTGCGTTCGCCCGTCTCCTGTCGACGAGCGTGCCAGTGGTGCGTGGGGCAGATCGCCTCGATGCTCCTCGCAACCTGCGCAATCCCCCGACTCCTGATAACCGCAATGCGCGCGACGAGCAGGATGCCAGTCCCCCTGCAACTTGAGCTCCAAGCCTGCTGCTCGTTGAGAAGATAAAGCTTGTCAGGGTCTCCCATTCTCCGTGGCGCCCCCCAAGGCAGGCATGATGGGTTCCAGCCAGTGACCCTGGGTGTCCCTCGGGCCCGTCGGAGAGCAACCGCCCCTGTCGGGCCCGGTCCCCCACCCGCTCCAGGGCACCCGAGTCCCCGCTTCACGAGCAAGGCCTCGAACGGCAAGAGGTGGGCTAAACCTGAAGTCCAAGGCGCCCCGGTGGTCGGTCAGTTATTTGAGTGCCGGTGGCGGTTGCCAGCCCAGGTCCCGAATGGCCAGGGACATGGCCCCTGGGGGCCCTGCCGCCCTTCCCCGCGGCCTCCTGTTCTGGCGCGGGGCCGTGATCTGAGATAGCCGGGCAGCCCGCAGGGCGTCGTGCACGCGAAGGTCCCAGCGCAGCGGCGGCCGCTGATAGATCGAGCCCGCCCGCGCTGAGATTTGAAGATCAAAGGGGCCTCCTGCGCGAGGAGGCGTGGGGCTCTGCGCCGACGCTTGCTCCCCCGGCTCGCGCAGGCCTCCAATCGCCGTGCGCCTCGTAAAGTGGCGGGGGGCGGGGGGGGGGCGCCGCGCGCTCCCGCCCCGTGCGCGATGGCCGGGGGGGCTGATTGCTGAACGGAAATTCCTGGGGGAGGCCCCGCCCGATGCAGACGACGACGCCGCGCGTGTCGAGTTCTGATCTTGTCGATCCGAGGTCTGAGCCCCCTGCGCCGCGCTGGCCTGCCCGAGGCCGCATCGACTCCCAAAACTTCCAAGGCTGACGCTGCGCGGTGCCCGAGGCGTCGCGCGCGGCGGCGCGCT